TAATAATAATGCAAATAATAACCATAACAATAATAAATAGTAATAATGGTAATACTAATAATAATAATAATAATAACAACAACAACAACAACAACAACAACAACAGCAACAACAACAATAACAATAATCAAAAATAGTAAGGCTATTCGCCCGTATCTGCGCGAGTGCCAAATAAAACGTAATTCCCAACCCGCCCTCTTTGTCTTCGATCGAACCCTTGTTGGGCGGTGTACCTTTCTTCCCTGCAGGCCGGGCCCCGGCAAGCGGCGGGGCGGCCGCGGACCGTCGGCCTGGCCAGCGGCAGCGCTGATCGGCGGGGCTGCCGCGGACCGTCGACCCGACCCCAAGAGGGACGGACAGGGGACCGACCACGACGACGACGACGACGACGACGACGACGACGACGTCGACAACAACGACGACGACGACGACGACGACGACGACGACGGCGACGACGACGACGACGAAGGGAGCGCGATTCCTGAATAAAATGCGAGGAATCTCGGGAGGGACAGGGGGTCCTGGCTAAATTGTGAGGAAGTCTCAGGCGGGAGCCGTTGTTGTTGTAATCCGGGGGGCCAGGGGCCCAGTTTGCCCTGATTAAAACTGGGTGCGCGCGTCGAGGGCACACTTTGATTGAGAAAAACAATATGCACTGGTGGGGGGGCATCAACAATAATCCCACCAGCCCTCTGGGTGTCGGTGGTTTAGGACGTTTCCTCTTCCACCCTTCCCTCTTCCCCTCCAGGGAGGGGTTTATCATCGCTCCCTATTAATAAACACCCCCTCCCCCAGGCGACTGGGGGCCAACCAGGGTCCATGACGACCCCCCCCCCATTCCTCACAAAAACAATGCAAAACACACTCGACCTCCAAATTCGGAACATGCGCAGCCAACCCGATGCGACCCCCCCCCCACCATCCCTGTCAAAAAAACAATAATAGTACACTTGGCGGAGGCGGCGGCGGCGGCGGCGGCTGCGGCGGCTGCGGCGGCGGCGGCGGCGGCGGCGGGGCGGTGGCAGCGGCTGCGGCGGCGGCGGCGGTTTGGCAGCGGGGGACGGCGGCGGCGGCGGCGGCGGCGGATTGGCCCCCAGTAGCTGCGCTACGTATGTGTTGGGGGGGCGGGTGGAGTGAGCGAGACGGCTTTCGGGCGGGGAGGGGGTCTTGACCCCTCCCCCTACCCCCTCCCCGTGGACCTGGACGGGGGGGCGGGCGCGGGTAGTTAGAGCGTCCAAAACGGCCTCGGCGAGGAAGTCAAAATCATTGATGTTACTCAGGTTTTGGCCCCATGTTGGCCTCCTGGGGGGAAGGGGGGGGCGTAATTAAGGAACCCCCCTTCGTGGACCGATCTCCTTCAAAATGGCCCCAAGAAGTGCCCAGGAGGCCCCAAGAGGTCCCAAGATGGCCCTAAGATGGCCCCACGAGGCCCCCAAGAGGGCCCCAAGGAGGCCCCCAAGAACACCCGAAGCGGCCCCAAGAGGCCCTCCCCCGAGGCACCCAAGACCCCGAAGAGCCCCCCAGGATCGCCAAGAGACCCCCAAGACGTTCCCAGAGCCCACCAAGAATCGCCCTAGAGATACCCCAAGAGGCTCCGAGAGCCTTCCAAGAGACCTCTGGCCCTTGTGTTTGCCCTCCTCCTCCTCCTCATCCCCTCCTCCTCCTCTTCCTCCTCCTCCTCTTTCCTCCTCCCTCCGCTCCTCCTCCTCCTCCTCCTCTTCCTCCTCTTCCTTTCCCTCCTCCTCCTCCTCCTCCTCCTCATCCTCCTCCTCCTCCTCCTCCTCCTCTTCCTCCTCCTTCCTCCTCCTCCTCCTCCTACTCCTCCTCCTCTTTCCTCCTCCTTCTTCCTCCTCCTTCCTCCTCCTCCTCCTTTCCTCCTTCCTCCTACGCCTTATCCTACTCCTTATCCTCCTCCTTTTTCCTCCTTCCTCCTCCTCCTACCTCCTCCTCGTCCCTCCTCTCCACTCCTCCTCCATCCTCCTTCCTCCTCCTCCTTCCTCCTCCTCCTCCTCCTCCTCCTCTTCCTCCTCATCCCCTCCTCCTCACTCCCCCTACTTCCTCCTCCCTCCGCCCTCCGCCTCCGCCTCCGCCTCCCCTCCGCCTCCGCCTCGCCTTTCGCCTCCGCCTCCTCCTCCCTCGCCCTCCTCCTCCTCCGCCTCCCTCCTCCTCCTCGCCCTCCTCCTCCTCTTCCTCCTCCTCCTAGTCCTCACTCCTTAGTGCCTTTTCAGTTATCTATCAGTCTTTTAAATCCCCTCCTCCTTCCCTACTCCTTTATACTCCTAATTCACTCCTCTAGAACTATCGTACCTGCCTCCTCTTCCCTCTTCCTCCCTCCTCCTCCCTCCTCCTCCTTCTCTCCTCCTCCTCCTCCTCCTCCTCCTCTCTCCTCCCATTATCGGCCCCTTCCTCCAATCGCCCACCCAATCCATCCATCCCATCCATCCCTCGTCCGTCCGTCCCGTCCGTCCGTCCGTCCGTCCCCTCCCTCCCTCCCTCCGTC